GGATGGCAACACGCACTTATACCCAACAAAGTAGGTTTTTGGTGTTATGACAAACAACTTTTTGGAGCACAGATGATCCAAAGTGATTAAAGGCAACCCAAAACTAATACTTTCTCCATCGCAAGATATATATCCAACATTTTTTTGTGATTGTTTAAAATAAGTGCCCACATTCATAAATAAATACTTATAATTTACTAAATTTTCAATTTTACCCTTAATTATGATACATGAATATTTGAGCGTTGATGAAATGGTAATCTGGAATAATTATAGATTTCTAAAATTGTGCGTTCATTATTAAGGATATAATTGTCATCTTGTTAATAAAAAGTGTAATAATTATATTCTAAAAAATAGTTTGCATTTTATATTGTAGATGATTATTTTGACATAGAGGAAGTATATACTATCGTCATTGCAGCTTTACCCTAGATGATAAAGGATTTCAAAGTTTATCATGTTTTGTTTGAAGCTTTCAATGTCCGTTGTTAGATTAAGGCACACAACTACGTTCTTTATTGCTTTAGAAAAATATGACATTACTTTCACAAATCTAAAGAAATATCTATATGTACCTCTTGACTTACAAAAGCGACACCTTATGCACGACGGAGCCAACTGTTGCCCATGGTTAGCCCGAGCTAACGCTAGGATTCTAAAAAACAATTTTATATAAGTCAAAAAAACCAAGTCCACTAACTATTGGAATCCCACTTTACTAATAAAAAAATTAGGCTAACCCACTACCACATGGTACCCATTCATGACTGGCCCATTCATTAAAAAATTTGGACAACTCAATACCTTATGATTATGATTCATCGTTCACGCAATAGTTGAGAGGGCATTTTTAGCCATGAATATCGTGAACAATGGGTTGCACAATAAATGGGAGATCAATGGATGAACGATAACTTGGTTGCCTATATTGAAAACATTGTGTTTGTGGACGTTGATAATGAAATTATTATCGACATGTTTCAGAAAATGAAAAATCTTCAAGAGCATGTGTACCTTTGGATTGAACGTTGTTATCAATAAAATATCTTTGATATATTTATTTTTCGTTAAATTGAAGAGGATCACCTCAATTGATTTTTCTGGCTCTGCCCCCAACTTTAACTACTTAACACCACCACATAGTGAGCAATCAGGCAATAGTTGAAGTCCTAATGAGACAAGGCGAGTCCCCATATCTTTTAGCATGATAGGTAAGGAGGCAGATATACTTACAAAATGAACAAGAGATATGGGGTTTGACTTCAGATACTACCACCTACTTTGAGACACAATTTGTCTTCCATAATGATTATGGGACCCATATAATAAGAAAGCCTTAGATGATAATACCATACATTTTTTGCAGGATAAGGACAATACACTAGGGTCCAAGAATAGATATTTTATGTCAACACAGAAAATGTTGCACAAATAAAGAACCTATCAATGTATTTGTTAGTCAAACCTGGAGGAGAAATACTCCATAGATTTAAAACGTATGTGTTGGCTAATATGATAGAATGCAAAATTTGATACAACTACGGAAAAACAGCAAATCAGTCCAAAAACTTCCGAATTTGTGGCGATATTTTGAGTACTAAACTCTATTTGTTGATAAGTTGGTGGCTTGAGGACTGAGGAGATCTATTGATTAGCTTGGGCTCATATGCCTAAATAGTCTCGAAATTCAATAGATGTTACTTTCAAACTGTCCTTTTGTGTTGCCTCAATAATAGGATGGTGGGCATCCAGAAAGGAGGTCACAGGTTCAAGCCCGCGCACTGCCACTTCTTGCTGACTCGCAGTAATTTTCCTCTATAATGACCATTGGGAAAAGTGTGGTGGGACCGAGGGAGCATTCTAGAGGGTGGCATATACCCACTCTTACTATTGAATGCAATAAAGACATACAATTAAGAAGATGGATTGGGTAGGTATATCAAGAAAAATCATGGTTAAAATAACTCGTTATGGTATCGAGGTTTGGGTTTGCTGCCACGTTAACCCTTGTCAATCCACTCTAAGGCTTGACTTTGTTGTAACATGTTATGGCACAATGCATTATTTTGTAAGACATGTGTTTTTATTACTTTTTTTGAACATATAATTTGGGGATAAATGATAACCATGTACGACACCTAAGACTTGAATAGACATTAAAAGAAAACATAAAACCTAAAACACTAAATAGGCAAATCATTACTCTCATTCCCATACATAGGGAGTCGAACATGAGTTCTTTGAAGATTGAGAAAAAAAATATTGAATAGAGACTCTAAGAAAGATTCAATCCCGATTTTGCACTCTCAATATCATTATCTTATAAGCTTGATATATTTGACATAAATGGTTCCTTTTTAGTTCTATAAATTTTAATGAATTTAAATTGTTTTATAGTATTATTCAAAACACTAACAAACAAGTGTGTGTATATATATTATATATACACACATATACATACATACATACATAAATGTATGCTTCTTGTGCTTTTTGGCACGCCTTGAAAAAAGCCGTGGCCTCGCTGTAACTTGTAAGGCTTGAAGTTTGGTCTCGTCGCCACGTCATGCCACGCCAGGCAACACGTCATTTAGAACCTTGAGAAAAATTAGGGGTTATTTGTCTTTTTTTTCCTTCCTATTAAGACTTGTCTGGAATTGAGGTTGAATGTGAACAAATACATGATGATGACTTATCCAATTCAACCATTTTCAATGATATCTTAAAAAATTAAACAAAAAACAAGCACGACTTAAATGCCTTATCGAACAAAGAACAAAAAGACCCCTTTGGGATGGCTACAAGATAGAGGGTTCTACTATTTGTGTTGATCATCTCTCTCATTGATTTGATGATAATCCCTTTTACCTTTCGAAGTATTATTGTTTCTGTTCCAGCGATCATCACTGAGTCTATTCAGTAATCGCTGAAACACACATTGTAATTCTACAGCGACAACGATGCTTCAAGAATACAAAACTCACACCAAAGAACCTTCAGTGAATGTCGAAGACTGAAACTGAAGATTAGTGATTGGCGCGTTCGTGATCTAAAGCGGTATTCAGTGATTACAATCTGGTCAACATATGTGTGAAGACTGCACAAGCCTCAGTGAATGCTAAAGAGACCTCCAACGTTATTCCAGCATTCAACGATCAAATGAAGCTTGTCATGCACGATTGTTTTTGTCTTGTCATTCCATACACAAAGGACAAAGTCATACCCTTTCAAGAGTATAGTACTGCACGGAGCCGACTAGTCGACTCTAGTGCCCATCAACTCCACGAAATGATATCTGCTCATGAATAGACAAATGTACTATTCACTGTTGCTAAGGACAAACTTTCCTCATAAAGCTTGACGCGTGTTCCAACCCTTCTAATTTGCATTTAATGCAATGGGTATAAATAACTGAGTGCTCTCTCCATGCACTACACATCTATCTACAGAACACATACGCTTATCTTCAAGCAAGTTGGAATTTCTCTCAAAATTCTAAAGTTCTTACCCAAGAAGAACATCTTTCTATCATTATCTTTTCAACAAATTTCTTTTATTTGCTAAGTATATTTGTGTGTAATCTTAGATTGCTTTAGATAGATTATCTTTACCTTTTCTATTTCTGCAAACAATCAGCAAAAAATTTCTATTGATCATTCTTTATCAATATATATTTTCAAATAAGAAAGTTTTTTGTGTTTGTATTCATCCCCCCCTTCTACAAACTGTTCCTCTAAACTTTTGTAGACCTAGCTGGGACCAACAATTTGTATATTGTTTAGATAAACAATTGACACGTAAAGGAGCATCGACCTCGATAGGTCTAGAGAGTAAAGACGGAAAGTTCCCATACCCAAGGTGCCAAGTACTCCATATGAACTTTTAATGAAGTCAACACAAATGAGAGGCGCTTTATAAAGACTACTGAAAAATCTAAACTTCTCTAAGCATCGAATAATCGTCTCAGAACTTAGGAAGAGACCACCTAAGGTGGGTTCTGAAAGGAATGAGATGTATACATACCTGATCTCCAACCTAGAGAGTAGAGAGGTCGTTTTCATGAAGACCCCAACTTGTGCATAGTGTATAAAAATTGCGTGAAAAGAACATAACGATAAAGAAGAACTTAAAAAGAAGAAATGTAGGGTTAAGATTTGGAAAACGAGTTAGAAGTCCAACCAAAAATCAAAGAGAGAGATCGAAAACATAATCAAGGTAGGTAGGTCTACAAAATCCTAATTTAACCTTAGATTCAGGGGTCTAACTGTCGGCTCACTAACCCAATCCTCTTGCTCTCTAGATCCCTTTCTCCGATCTACACTAGCTATAAATACCTCACACCTAGTTTGCTACCCTAATCTTGTGGGAAATTAAGACCTTTAAATGAATCCCACAATCTAAAGATTCAAAGGCACAACATATAAAGAAGCAATTGTGAAAAGGTGTTACCATAGTGGCTCGGGATATCCATGACGCAAAACTTGAACCCAAGCTTGGTACCACAACCTCGGATAATGAGATCTGCTACAAGCAAAATGCCTTGGTGCAAAATTCATAATTCAACACAAGTTAATAGGCATATGATACTAGAAAATAAAGTACAACAAATGAATATTGCAAAGCTAGAAATAAGTGCACTTATAGTAAACTATGAACTATAAAACCAAACCAAACCAAACATACCAGGACTCAGATAGGGTATGAGGTTACTCCCTCTGCCTCAATTTGTCCCAAACTAAATGTCCACTTTCATAAGTGCCTACTTTCCAATTATACCTATAATTATCAAAGGCAAAATTGTCTTTTAGTTATTTAAAAAGTGTAATAATTACAAATTTCTATAGCTATGTGCCTTTTTTTTATTATGCACATTTATTTCGGGAGAGGAGTATTTGGTTTTGTCCAAGCCTCAAGTTTCACTAGTCTTTGTATAAACAAAGAAAACGAACAAGCAACTAAGAAACAATTGTAAAGAACCAAAAAGTCATTATGTAATGTTTCATTTGCTAAAAAAGCGAAGCCAAGGCAAATAACGAGATATATAGTTTTCTGGTTCATTCAGACTTTTAAATGCATAAATGTATAAATGACTTTCTAAATGCATCATACAACAAATTATATGCGATAAAAAACCAATAATTTTACCCCTTTTCACATATTTTAAAGCATACACCATGTGTGCAGTTGTGTTGAGATATCATGACTATGTGAGATCATCTTCATCGAGTGCCTCTCCATGCTCCAGTGAATTGGCTTCCATTGCAATCAACTCGCCAGTAGGGAGCTTCCGTGCAAGTCTGATTATCTACAACATTGTTATATCAAATGAATCAATAGTAAAAGACCAAATATATTTGTAATACCATACTCGAACAGCGTGGCAATTTCATTTTAATAGCTATAAAATCTATGGTGACAAACTACAATGCCAATTTGTTATACTAGTTCCCACTCCTATGAACATTACTCCCTCAATTCCAAAATAAATATCCGCAAAGAAAAAAATCAACATAGTTTTAGAAATTTGTGATTATTACACGTTTAATTAACCAAATGACAATTTAACCCTAAATAATAGACATAGTAATGAACTTTTCCATCTTATAAATAAGCATAGAGTTGGAAAGTAGACACTTAACTTGGAACAAACTAAAATAAAAATAGAGACATTTGTTTTGGAATGTTGCTAAAAGTTGCAACATTCCTTTTTTAGCAGGCTTCTAATCTTGATTTACCAACTACCATCATTACAACCTTTTGATGCTTATGAAAATAACTCACAAGACTAATGTCGTTTTTATCACCATTGGAGGGTATTAAGTCATTTAGCACAACAAACACTTGAATATAGTCAAGCGCTGCTTATGGGGCAATGGGAGTATCTATTGAATAGAATAAGTACCAATTTTTGTTACTTTTTTCTTATTTTTTGTTGAGAAATTAGAGAAGGCTATGTTGAGAGAATTGCAGGAATATTTTATGATTTGAGACTAGACTTTACAAAATGAGGATATCCAACTATTTATAGGTAATAGTAACAGTAAACTAACTAATTCAATTAAAGCCACATCTAACAAATCTCCACCTTGGCTTTAATTCTAGTACAATTTTTTTTACTTCCAGCTATCAATGTTTAGGAGATCTAAACAATGCCTAAACTTATTCAAAGAAACTGGTTTCATTAGTGCATCAGCTGGATTCATCAGTCTTCACTTTCTTCACTTCAATTCTCCTTTCTGAACATATAAAGTGATAACGAACATCCATGTGTTTCGTTCTCTCAAGATGCACCTGGTCTTTTGCAAGACAAAGGGCACTCAGGCTGTCACAAAAAAACTACAGTCGGATCTTGATAAAACCCAAAATCTCCAAGTAAACCTTTCACCCAAATCCCTTCTTTTGCAGCCTCCATAAGAGCCATATATTCAGCCTCCGTTGTAGACACAACAGATGGCTGTAACGTCGCTTTCCAGCTCACTAAGGCATCTCCAACAGTGAATACATATACCGTTAATGACCTCCGTGTGTCAAGATCAGCTGCGTAATCAGAATCTGAAAATCCAGCCACAATACAATATGTTTTTCCTCCATAAATGAGACCTACATCAATTGTGCCTTTGAGATAACGAAAAATATGTTTCACGACAACCCAATGTTCTTTCCCGGGATTAGCCAGTAACGTGAAACAACATTAACAACATAGAGCTATGTCAGGTCTAGTGTAGACCATGACATACATAAGACTTCCTACAACATTAGAATAAGGAACTTTGCTCATATACTCCACCTCAGCCTCGGTTTGAGGTGCCAAAGCCACTGATAATCTGAAATTTGCCGATGAAGGTGTGCTCACATGCTTTGAAGAAGCCATACCAAATAGAGAAAGTATCTTCAAAATGTAACTTAATAGTTATAAGAAAAGTTTACGTCTAGATCTATCTCGGGTAATCTCCATATTGAGAATCTTTCGAGCAACCCCCCAAATCTTTCATGTCAAACTCAGAATTAAGGAGTCTTTTTAACTTCTTAATTTCAGCCATATCACGAGCCGCTAATAACATATCGTCCACATAAAGTAGGAGATACACATGTGACCAATCAATACTTTTCTTATGATATATATACAACAATCAAAACTTTTCTGCCTTGAGGTAACATTACTAACTCCCAAGTTCTATTCTTGTGAAGGATTCCATCTCTTCACTCATGGTTGTTATCCACACATCAGCCTCCTTCGTTGTGATTGCTTCTTTGTAAGTAGATGGCTCAAAGAACTCCATTTCTTCAGCAACTTGCAGAGTATAGGCCACCATGTCTTCAAAACCATATCGAATTTGCCTACCAACTTGTCTTCGGGGCTTGTCTAATGTTATAGATCGAAATTCAGCAGGTTGGTGCTGATTTTCATGCACAACAGGTTCTGGTTGAGGCGAGTTACTGTGCTGTCCAACAGTATTCTCGTCTTCATCGGGACCATTTAACTCGTACTACACTTGTTCGGACACACTCTCCTCTTGAACACTTGGAGCAGATGAACACCCCACCCCACGTAACACACTCACCTCATCAAAAACTACGTCACGGCTGAGATCACCTTTCTTTTATCAAGAGACCAAATTCTTTATCCCTTTACTCCAATTCCGTATCCCATAAACAACCCCTTCCTTTGATCTTGGTTCCAATTTTCCTTCACTAACATGGTAGCATGAAGGACAACCAAATATTCTTAAGCTCGTGTAATCAGCCGGCTTACCGGACCACATCTCAATAGGAGTTTTACAATCAATTGCCATTGCTGGGGATCTATTCACCAAGTAGTAAACCGTGTTTAAAGCTTCTGCCCAAAAACTTTTATTCAACCCAGCATTTGACAGCACATATATCACTCTTTCCAGCAGCATTTTATTCATCTTTTCAGCTACTCCGTTCTGCTATGAAGTGTGCTCGTTCGATGTCTTACAATTCCTTCATCTTTACAAAACCGATCAAACTCACTCGAATAAAACTCCAATCCGTTGTCCGTTCCCAGACGCTTTACTCTTCCCAACTTGATTTTCAATGAGAACTTTCCAATCTTTAAACTTCTCACATGACTCACTATTACGCTTCATGACGAATACCCAAGTCATCCTAGAGTAGTCGTCAATAATTGAGAGAAAGTAACGACCACCACCAAGTGAAGGAACTTGCGAGGGACCCCAACAATCAGCATGTAGGTAATCTAAAGTTGACTTGGTTGTATGGACAACTTTTGAGAAACTCACTCTACTTTGTTTTCCAAAGATGCAATGCTCACAAAAGCCGAATTCAGCACGTCTATGACCTCCAAGAAGTCCTTTCTTGCTGAAAATTACCATGCCTTTCTCACTAACATGCCCTAGCCTCATGTGTCACAAATGTGTCAAATCTGACTCATTCTCTATAGAATTAATGCCTGGTGCTGCTGATCCAACAACCGTCCTACCTTCCAGCACATACATGGTACCTCTCTTGGCTACTTTCATCACTACTAAAGCACCCTTAATGACCCGAATTACTCCACCCTCACCGGTGTACTTGAAGCCTTTTGAGTCGAACACTCCCAAAGAGATTAAGTTTTTCTTCAACCCGGGTACATGACGAACATCTGTTAGAGTTCTCACAATCCCATCATGCAATTTAATGTTCACCGACCCAATTCCAACAACATTGCACAACATGTCATTTCACATCAAGACATTTTTGGTTGCAATCTTATCATAAGTTTGAAACCAATCGTTATGTGGTATCATGCGAAATGAACACGCGGAATCAAGAATCCATACATCTAACTGACTTTTGCAATCAACCATCGAGAGCACCAAACCAGCCTCCAAACCCGAATCATCTTTTGCTACAACAGCGGATCCTTTTGACTTTCATTTTGGACACTCATTTTTCCAATGACCCGGTTCTTTACAATAGTGGTAACTATCTCTTGGGTTTCCACTTGGACCTCTAGTCTTCGATCTTGATCGGCCTCTAATTTTCCACTTCCTTTTTCCTTTCTCTCGGCCTTTTTCTCTACCTCTTACTCTATCTCCGTTTACCACCGACAAGCCAACCGATTGAATTTCGGAACTACTTCTTGAAGCTTTGTCACAACTTTCGTGAGTGCAAACTTGAACGAACTTCTTCCATTGTAATTGCGTCTCTACCAACAACGAACGAGTTGACAAAATTTTCATATGAAGTGGGCAACGAAACCAATAAGATGAGGGCGACATCCTCATCTTCAATCTTGACTTCAACATTCTTCAAATCCATAAGATTGGAGTTTAATTCGTCAAGATGTTCCTTCAAAGGCATTCCCTCCTTCATTCGTAATGAGAATAACCTTTGCTTTAACAACTTGTTCGTTAAAGACTTGGTCATGTAGAGGCTCTCTAGTTTTTGCCATAAAGACACAACAGTCTCCTCATCGGCAACTTCATAAATCACCTCATCTGCCAAAGACAACAAGATGGCAGAGTGAGCCTTCTCATCTTGTTGTGCAAACTCAAATTCAGCCATCCCTTCAGGCCTTTCACCAGTCAAGGGAATCCAGATGTCTTGTTGTTTTAGGAGAGCTCTCATCTTTATTCTCCATAAGCTGAAGTTGTTCTTTCCTGTAAACTTGTCCATCTTGATCATTTGTGGAGGCATTTTCTGAAAATCTTGAAAGAACTATGGTACAAGATTTAATGTTGAGCAATCAAGAACAGAGATCCAGACTAATCTTCAAAAAAGTGGACAATTTCTAAATTGGCTGTAAATATGGGTAATCCAAAAAATTGATCCCCAAAAATCGACCTTTCAATAAATCAAAACATCAATTTTAATTGCTTGACACAAGTAGATACCTCCAATTGAAACACTCGATGACGAAATTGATTGTAGAAGAATCAATTTAGACCGATTTGAATTTTAGTGATTTAACTGTTGTCGCCCCATTCCTCAAATTGACTGCTGAATCTGTCGATTTACACCATCAATTTCAGAATCGAGAAGCTCCACCTTGAATCGAACACCAAAATAGACCCAATCGATTGCCCACAGAAAGACGATTAACAAAAGCAATGAAGCGATTCCAAAGAAAAAACGACGAGGAGTTTAGCGATTAGTGATAAAGGGAACCCTAACGCTCTGATACCAGTTTGTCAAGAAAATAGAGAAAGCGATGTAGAGAGAATTGCAGGGATCTTATTTATGAATTGAGACTAGACTTTACAAAATGAGGATATCCAACTATTTATAGGTAACAGTCAAGATATGCTAAACAGAAAAATAAAACTAACTAATTCAATTAAAGCCACATCTAACATTTTTCTCGTTCTATATTCACCATGTGCTAGTCCTTGTTGTCGTTCTATCTGTTTGCTCACTCTTTTGCTCAAACTGAGGGTCTTCACATAAACAACCGCCCTACACTTTCAGGTAGAGGTCACGTCTGTGTAAATCTTACCCCTCCCTACTTTTGAGTGGGATTTGCGGGGACAGTTTGCTTGGTTTAATAGGTTCAATTATTGTATATTGATATTCATGGGATGCCTCTAAGCAAAACCGCAACTACGTAACGAAGAGTTTGAGGAGCGACTAAAAGGGTAACAAACCAAGTATTTAATGCATTTAGGCTATTACATTCATTATTTTGTTGTGCACAATGTTAAGAGAAATGAAGATGTGATGATGGCTATCGTTACTTGGTATGAGGAGAATTGAGATAGGTCAGACAAAATGGAGATAGGTGGAGGCTTTGACAAATGTGAATGTGAAATCTATCTATAGCACAAATATATCACATTCATGTTTCAATCATGGAAACAACTGCTCTACTCTTTGGGTTAGAGGTCAGGTGTACATACATCCCCTAGACCTAGATCTGGTTGGGACATATTGGGCTTGTTTGGTTTGGTTTGATTTATGTCTCAATAAAAATAGAATCGACTTGGAACCTTTAGTAGGGGTTTGTCAATGTGAGCATGTTGGTACCCGGTCTAAATACAAACATGTTCGATAGATGGAGGCTCTTTGGTATTACTACCACATCGTTACGTAACAAATGGCCATCAACCTCTTACACATACGATAAGCTTTTGGAGGACCTAATTAGTTGCTATGTGAATCATGGGCTCAGTGTCATAATAGTTTCATCAATCCATCACAAAGAACTCCAAACTCACATAGGAAGCATCCCATGTCATATTATAGGAGATGTCTGTCATGGCATGAATTCTAATTTTGCACTAGTGTAAGAAACTACAACTCCCTTCGTCCCAAAATAAATTTTCATGATTAAAAAAAAACCACAGTTTAAAAAATGTGTAATTATTACACTTTTTAGTTGAATAAATGACAATTTTACCCTTAATGATAGAAATAAACTTCTTTCTCTCTCTCTCTCTCTCTCTCTCTCTCTCCCTCCCTTCCTCTCCATCATCAACTCTTAAACATTTTTGTGTCTCATAATTAGGGTTGGAAATTAAGTAAATTATAACCATCTATTTTTGAAAGTAGACAATTATTTTGGGACATACTTAAATAGAAATGTAGACACTTATTTTGGGACGGAGGGAGTATTTGCTTCCTTCTCTTTCACGACATAAGGTTGCCATCGATAAAGATGCCATAACTATTGGTGGGCCAAAGCAATTGTGCGCCTAACCCAACCATCTAAAAACCTGCTACCCAACTCTTCTCCATGTCCATGAGGCGCCAAGTTTAGAGTGGCATTGATTTGTATGCAAGATACCTATAGAACCTTGAGAACTGCAGCAAATGAGGGCATCTAAATGGTAGTGTAGGAAGAAAACAAAATTTTTGTTACTCAGAGTGAGAGGTATCTCAACATGCAAATGCCAAATGATTAAACTTCCCCTCATCATGTATGCCAACTCTCGATCATGGAGGCACTTGGCAAGTTCCAGGATCTTCATAGGTGAATCCATTGGTTTTCTATTTCAACATCCATCATTTAGATAAAAGATATGGGGTCATATTTTGTCCTATAACATCTCATCTCAAAATTGTGACACCTAAATCCACAAGCATACCTGCAATCTTCCAAGTTCTGGCATATCTAAAAGAAACTTGGTTAATTATGCCCTTCTATCATCCCTTGTGATCACGTCTAGAAGACCATGCCAAAGTAACTTCTTGTATAGGATGTGCCTCTTGAAGACGTGTAATCATGATAGCTATGAGGCATAACAAATTAGCAACAAGACTAAAGTTTGGGTTAAGGCCTAAGACCATACAAGGACCTTTGAAGTAAGCTCCTCAATCAAAAAGGACGGTGATTTATCCATATATACTATACCTCCTCAAAATATAATTAGACACTCCTAATATCCAACTAATAGTGAATGAATAAGAACAACATGCAAAAATAATGATCCAAAGAAGCCATGTTGGCTACAAAAGAGAAAGTCCTCTCATCATCGATTCCATACACCAGGATGAAACTTCATGATAAATACCCATTTGAAACTTGCAGAGTACCCTCCGGGGTAAAGTTACCCTTGTTTACATGTCATTCTTTCCTAACATCACACTATATTGTTGGATCTTCGTGGAAATAGTCTCTCTGTCTCATGGGACAAAGTTACGATCTGCGTACCTTTGGGGACCCTAGCTTCCGGTGGGATATATCAGGTCTGTTTAATTTTACACTATATTGTTGGACAAAGCAAGTTCACCTATCCATTAGATGATATATCTCAGATTACCAATTGAATATTGGAGTAATGAGTTGCCATGTGGATGTCAAACTAAGGAATTCCGACTGTAATTAATTGGCAAAGGTGTTTACAAGTTTAAATGAAATACTGCAATATAGATTAAAGGTTATCAAGACAGACATGTGCTAAATATTCACAACTTGCACCACCCTGTGAGAGGTCTATAAAGAAAAATAGCTGAGAGAATAGCAAGTGAAAAGGATTTAGCATTGCACCCATTAAATCATGGTACTTTATTTTGAGCTATTTTTTTTTTCTTTTAGTCCGCTAATAAAAGGAGAGGAAATGGTTGTAACTAAGCTACTCCTTTTGCTCATAGCCATAAGAGCATCTCTAACAGCTATGCTATATTTTTCTAAAATAGAGTATCAGAAGTTAGAATTTCTAAAAAAAATTGCATCCAACTCCAACAACTACTTTATTTTAGCAATTTTATCATTAACTATATTATTAAAATATTCAATACATTTAATAAAATATAATTTCTCTCTCCTACACACTTAATTTCTATGTCTTCTATTGGTGAGAAAGAATTAAATATTCCTAAATGTGGAATTGTAGAGATTTCTCCAAATTTGGAGATTTCTACTCTCTCCCCCTTCTTTTCTCTATTTTAGCATACATTATAGCATAACTCTTGGAGCAAAAATATACCCTAAATCTTTACAGTCTCTATTTTAACATAGCTGTTGGAGATGCTCTAAAGACTAATATGGTTTCCATAGCATAAGCTCTACCATATATAGACTTGGTAGTTCTCCAAAAGACATCGTGTTAAACACCAGACTACGTATCTCTAGTTGCAATTGCATTTCCTTATTAGTCCTAAAAGGTCATGCCCAAACATAAATAGAAAAACTGCAACCAGAGACAAACTGTTCAGATGGTTTAGGGTTTACCACATGATCAAGGTTGGATATAGTGCCTGATTTTGCTACACGTTTGATTTCTTCAGCATCAGCTTCTCTGTATGCAGAAAGAAGTTTACTAGCACAATGACTCTGATCGCTGCTCAGAAAAGTATCAATCCTACAAAGCAGAAGCGAAACATACTTTATTTCTAATATGGCAAGGATTCAGACTTGAGCATGAGAATTACAGAGATTTAAAGCAATCAATTTTAAAAATTTCCTACCAAGAGGGTGTTTGGGAATGTTTAGAAGCAGTCGAGAAGTACATAGAATTAAAAGATAGTTGCTTAAAGCAAGTACATAACTCTCATCAGGCATAACAGTTGTTTATAACTCAGTGTAATGCAACTATGTGAACTGTCCTTCCAAGAGACAACTTTCTTTTAGTTCTAATAGAGTTCCTATTATTACTAAGCCCAACCAACAACTGGAGACTCCCTACCTCCTAGGTAATTAACCATGCTATATGAAAACATCCACAAACTAGACCTTGATGAAAGGATCCAAGGAAGATTTAGTGAATGCATCATGTTCTAGAAAAGACACCATGCATTCTTATGCTTCAACATGAAGTTGGTTGAGCCATCCATTTTAAAGCGACAACCCTCTATGTAAAGAAATGATAGATGAGAACCTGAGCTCATGCAGCCAACTACTTTGGGATTAAGTTCTCAGCTCAAAGGAACTTATTGTTTAGTTACGAAAAAGCTTCCAGAATGCATAACATCTAGATTTTCACCAAACACAGCATATTAAAGTTAAATAATGTTTGACATGAGAAAATTTATTAATCAGATGTGCAATGCTACAACTTACGATACACATCAAACACCAACTATTGTGCGAGTGCAGAAGCTGCTGAAAGTCAGGCTATAATCACAGTTGTCTTTCTCATGCAATTAAACTGATAACTGTGGTTAGATTTCCTCCAGATTTCTGATGGAAATGTGCAATGAAGTGCAGTATGAATGTAACAAATCCCATAAATACTACAAGAAAACCATTAAGTAATTCAGCATTTTTGTCAAAACTAACCACTCATCCGAAAAACCACTTCACTAACATATAGCCAGAGCATAAATAGTGGGGGAGAGCCATGGTGAGAAACAGAACATGAGCAAATAAGGACACCTCGGTCTTTTTCATGGTCTTTGTTGGAAAACATTATCAAACCCAAGTATGTAATTATGGCCCATTAACAATATATCATTTTATTAGTGGAAAACAAGTAATTGCGATGTAGAAATATTGTAGAATCTCTAAAATGTTATGATCAGGCTATACAAATTTTCTTACCCGAGAGCATTATAATTTGTCTGCATTGTTGATTAGAATTTATAGGCATCTCTTATTAGATGTAGTCCTACTTTTGGAACATTAAATTTCACTTTCTTAATACATGCATAATATGGGCTCTTTAGCAAGGAACCAGAACTATATTTTCACCCTGTTACAGAACCATAAAGTAAGAAAGACTGAACTTACTGACAACAATCATTGTAGCACTGTTCTGCTTGCTTAAAATCATGAGCGTAAAGGTAGACTATAATTGCACTAAGATAAGCCTACACCCAAAGAAAATATGGTTAATCATTACTAGCAAAACAGCAATGCCAAGCATCACTAGCGAAGTAGTAATATTGATCAATAAGAAGTAGATTATTCAAGATAAACAAGGCATAAAACATACATATTGTAAAAAAATAGGGAATGAATAAAACATGCATGGGGTGGGGAATCCACAAAAAAGGAAACGATTTAACAGGACAGTCAACCTTATAATGTAGTTGTCCACATTTATGCAAAAAAATCATATCTTAGGAAGAAAGGGACAAGTTAAAGATACACAATCTCCTCTCTGGCACACACCTTCCACCATACCCAAAGGAGAGAGGGAGAGAGAGAAGAGTGTTGGTATATTATAGATTTCCCTCCCCACTCATAAGACCTAGAAGAATACAATTAATGACTTACTGCAATAGCTTCAAATCAATGGAACTTCTAACTGACTGGTAAAAACCATGTGACTTGTTGCACATGAAATACCAAATTCTGTTCCCAATTTGGAATCATGAATAGAATAGCCGTTTTGACACTTAAAAAAATAGATAGAACTTTTCAGCACTATCGGCCACACAAAATATTATGAAAGAGTGACTAATTTTGTGCAAAATGGAAAGAGTAGAAAATTTAGCAAAATCTAATTATGACGCTGACATCATTGAGGCTATTAACTGGTAGGGCACCAAACCTAAGGTAAGCAAAATGTACCACACCCAGAGGCAGGGTTTTCCATAAGATACAATAAATCTTGCACCTTCATTGATGCAAGGAGTGTAGCAAAATCCAAAATCTTAATACTGTAACTTAGAAGTAACATCACAAAGGATTACATCCATCAGATTTACATGTCTCTACTAGTGTAATGTTTACCTACATGAAACGAACATAACATACACATTTTAGACATTACATTTCTATTAAAGAGAAAGTAAAATGTGGAAGAGAAATAGATAAAAACGTGTATGTCAAACAGAAGAAACAATAATAGTGAAAATCACTACTAGTAAAAGTATCATTGTAGCATATCAATCACGTACATGGATAAGAAAGGAAAATAATTAGAAGTGCAAAGCTGGGAGTGCAGCCAGGCATCGAAAGAATAGAAAGACAGAGGACCTAAAATGTATGAATGTAAGAAGGAAAAACTTTGGACCTTGCACTGGCTATGAAGAGCATTGCATTTATTAGATGCTACGGCCCATCTGAGAAGAAAAGTTGCAGCATCCATATACCTTGAAGTAAAGCAACAAAAATGCGTTGTGTGAAACATGAAATCTGAAAAGAAAAGTTAGGATTGCAAAGTCTAAAATGCTATCAAATTTACAGACAAACACATAATTAAATGAGCAAGTTGGTCCGCAAGGTTAACACGTCCTTGAATAAAGAACAAAAAAGTACCATAACATCATATAAGAGCTACAGGATTGCAATTTTTTCTCGACCAATAATCCATACAAGAATGCTTTACTTTTAAGACAGTTGTAGAACAAGTCCAGCATGGATTAACATGCTGTTTCTTGCATAAGAATATGATGTGGTATGTCTGTACATGCACAAGTATTAAATTACATTGCTAGGGATTTAGAGAGCAGGACATGAGTTGGAAAAAGAACAAAGGTCTAAGGTTCGTATCCAGGATTTTGGCCTCACATGACTACAAAGAAATTCATTGATTACCCGCCTCCATGGACTTCAACCAAAAAGGAGAAAGATCTTAGCAGCACAAGGAAGTTTTTGAAGTGATAAAGGCATGTCAGATTGACTACCGTACACCACCAAATATAAGCCCAACTGAGCTAACTCATGACCTTGCCTGGGAGCTTAAACCCTTCAAACTGAAACACGACCACTAAGCCTTGGTGCAAAGATTAAGAAGGATACTTGGAGATTTCAAGAGAAAACTCAACTACCTGGCAGAGTAAAATCTAATTTGTAAAACATGGCTTTTAAGAGATGGTAGAACCCATCCTTATGTTAAGGTTTTCATTCTCTAGTTTTCTGGTTGGCTGTGGGTTGTTCGTCTTTTGGCTGCTGCTGGTTTGATCGTTATTTTATGTGCTTTTATCTGCTGCTGCTGTTTTGCTTCTGTGTGGCTACTGTTTCATTTTTTTTTCCTGGTTGCGGTTGCTGATTGGGTTCGACTAGGGGTTTTCTTTGTAGCTGCTGTTTGTGTTTGCTGCGGCTACCGTTTTTCTTCTATTGTTTGGTTGATCTCAAATCGAGTTTCGTCTTAGTTTCTGTGTTGCTGCTGTTTTTTGGGTCGTATTTCCTTCCTCGCTGGTGTGCTTTTGCTGCTGTTATTAGCCTTTGACTTGCTGGTTTGTTATCTGCTGTTTGGTACTTGATTTTCACGATCGTGTTTAGCTGCTGCTGGTTTGTTCTTGTTACTGCTGTTTCGGTTTTTATTCTGCTGTTTGGCCACCTTCATGTGGTTGTTCTCAACTGGGTGGTGGTTGCTGCTGCTGTTTCGGGTTACCTACGTTGTTAAGGTACGCCGTTTTTTCTGCTGTAGTGCTTGGTTGGTGCTGTTTTAGTCTTTTTGGGTTCGTTGCTGTTCATTTCCTGTTTCTCTTCACCTGTTGAGTGTTTCTGTGGTCTTCGTTGCTTTCCGCGAGTTTCCTTGATAGATATTCAGCACCTTGGTTTCCGGGGTCTTCGTCTATCCTATTAAGGTTGCTTAAAGAACGTTTTAGCACCACGGCTTCTTAACTCGTGAAATGGGAACGGTTGATGAATCTGAGCCCATGCATGCAGATCCTGGTAGGGTTTCTGTTTTTTGAGAGACTGTTGTCTCTAGTGGAAGGTTCGGGTGGTAGTCATGTTGGTAAGGAGGGTTGGTTAATGGAAAGCTAAATTTCGCCAAAGCGGTTAGGCGTTCGGTCGCCACGGATTTAAATTTTTACCCTCTTGCTGATAAAAATCAAGCGAGTGTGACGAAAATGGCTAAAGAGGCTGTCAAGACTTATAATTCGGTTCTTTATGGCTACTTTTCGAGTCCATGTATTCATTTTCCCCTAGTGCAAAAAATTGTTAAGGCTGCATGAGGTAAATATGGGTATGCTGAAGCGATGATGAACGAGAACGGAATTTTCTTCTTCAGATTTAATGATGAAGGAGGATGTGATCAGGTGATTGAGGCCGAGCCTCTAATGGTACGAGGAGTGCCATTGTTTGTTTATGGTTGGGATCCAACTAAGGGTTTACGGAAACCAGAACACACGTCTTGTCCTTTTTTTTTGAAAGGAAATCCAGGCAAATTTATAAAAACCATGACGAAAATACAAAGTTTAGGCAGAAAGCCACAACCAACCAAACAGAAAAGCAAAGGACTTGGTCACCACACCATACCAAGCCACAGAAAGCCAGAAAGTACAAAGCCCAACAGACAAAAACAAACTAAAAAGTAGGAACAAAAGGAGCTTAAGCCAGAGAAAATCCCCCTCAACCACCCTCCTAAAACCACCAAGCAAAAAATACCCCTCATTTATACCGCCAAACCTCTCAACCCTGCTCTCCTTCCAAGCCGCACAAATAGAAATTTTGTTCTTAATTTCCTTAACAAGTTGTACAGCCGTACGGTGATTCTCACTAAAAAGTCTCCTATTCCGCTCCTGCCATATATAGTAGACCGAGGCCGCAAGTGCTAGTTTCTACATTAACCGTTTAGGCGATCTCCTCGTATCCGATATAACCTCCATGATATGATCCCAAGAATCTGGCATACTCATCCAATCCACTTCTTGTAAAATACTTTCCCAAACCTCTTTTGAAAAATTACACTGAAAAAAAGAGATGGATATGGCTATCTGAAAAGTGTTATTTTATTAACCTTATTACATCATTTTCTTAACCATTTTCCTTTGTTTTATTTGCCCATTAGTGTCTTAATTGAGTCTTTTTATGTCTTTTTCATATATTAGTAGTAATATAGTATATCTAATGTTAATTCCCTATTTTTACAGGTTTTTGATGATTTTTGGGCCCAATCCTACGGCAGTCCTACAGGACCAGGAGTGGCAAGGTCCTATAGTACCTGTTTGAGAGCTGAAATTCTGGTTGGGCCGTGAAGAAATGGGCTGATCCATAGAGGAGGCGTGGTCAACGACCTTGGGCCCGGTCAAAGCCCAGTTTTGAAGAAGCTTTTGTCTTATTAGTTGGCACCCATTATGAGACCTTCCTTAGCCTATATAAACAAGCCTTAAGCCTTGTTTTGAAGAGACTTTTACATACTTTCTACCATTTAATCCTTATGATCTTTGTGTTAGTCATTCTCAAGAATATTGCTTTCGGTTCCAAGCTTTCGGTWTTCTTTGTTTGACTTTTCAAGAACCAACTTTTGTAGTTGTGATTACGTTCTCAAGTTTTAATTTAAGTACTCGTATTTAATCTTCATCTCATTTCTGTTCCAAGTTACGTTACGTTTTCTTATCTTTTACGAGTTACAAATTAGTCGATCGTTGTTGCTTTACATCGGATCTCATCTTTTGTAGCTCACGACTAATTTACATAGACTAAATAATCTGTTTTTACGAGTTTGAAAGTAACCTTTCGGTCTTTATAACGAAACTTGTTCTGCAAGTTTCGTTACTTGACTTGCAAGTTTTCTTCAAAAGTCAACCCCAATTTCCAAGGTTTTCATATGTCATTTCCTCATCCCATCAAAGTACTACTTGTCATACATCAAGTACCTTCCTTTCATCATTGCTATATTAATATTAATTAATATTATTTAGTTATTAATCATTTATATTTCAGTCTTTRTATTTCAGTCATTTATATTTCAGTCTTTATATTTCCGTCTTTATATTTCAGTCATTTATATTTCAGTCTTTATATTTCAGTCTTTATTTCAGTCCTTTACATTTCTGTCTTTACTTTACTGCAATTTACATTTCTGTCATTTAATTTCCAGTACTTTAAATTTCAGTATTTCCATTTCCTGTAATTTACTTTCTGTAATATATTTTTCCGTCTTAGTTATTTATTTTTCAGTCCTTACATCCTTCGAGAGAAGAAACCGAGCGATGATGGGCTAACGCCTTAGCTTGGGGTGTAACGGAAAATTAAGACTAAAGCCGATGTGAAAGTGCAAAGGTGTCTTATTAGCATTATAGTCTACTATTTATTTCAGGTGCTTAATATTTCATTTGATGATTACATTAAAATTAATTGACAACTAATTTTGTATATAAAAATGTATTGACTTTCAAAACCTGAGGTAATAGGAGAAGGCTATAAATAGCTTTAGTGTCTGACAAAC